GCACACAGTACTCTAGAGGGCATTTTTTGGTAGTGTTCTAATGTCCCGTTTTCTGGAAGGGAGCATGAGGTTGCTTCTGTTTCCTCAGTCCTGTCACATTAACCCCCAAAAAACGCAGCCCAAACAGCTGATAAGTTTACACATTGTTAGTGTTCTTTTTATCTAAGGCGAGAGAGGGTCTCAGTCCCAATCCAAATTTTCACTCATTTACTGCCTCAAACAGTTAAAAAAAAAAATGTATATGGATCTCTTTCCCATGAAAAAAACACAGTCTGCAGGAGTTTTCTGTAGCCAATTTCCGGAAGACACATAGCCCTAATATGGCAGTAAAAAAATATATAAACAAGAATGTGCTTCTCTCTGATTGGTCAAAAAACCATTGGGGAGGGCCATAGTTTAGACTTAAGCCCCCTGTATTGGCGCACAGGTTGATCCTAACCTCTTGGCGCTTTTCTTCTACTCCATTGGGTGCAGCTTCACTGTCTGACTATCTCTTCTTACACACACACACACACACACACACACACACACTGGCTTGCCTCTCCTTTACATGTTATCTAGTTTCGTACAGCAGAGGCATACGCCTGAGGCAGCTATTGAGAGCTATCGAGAGCTATTGAGCTATTGTTTGTTTGACCTCATCCTGGTTCACTCCCACATTCCTGCAGACGGGAAGTTTTATGTAGTGAACCGTTGGTGTACATTTACATTGGCACAAGTACAAATGAAAGTAGGAAATACCGGCAAAGTGGCATTTTTCATTATACAACGTCAACAAATACAAATGAATAATGCTTTGTACACAGACCAGTTTCTGTCTTCAGAACAGTATGTTTGTCTATTAACTCTCAACAACGTTCCTGCATATGAGTTGTTTAGAAGTCATCAATACATTTTAGCTACAGATAATAATGTAGATTATACAGTGATACATTCAAATTATGCCATAACATTGTGATACCTAGACTGTCTGTTAAATGGCTGTTTACAAACTGACATGGAGCAGTGTAATACTTAATGTTGCTCTTAACTACTTAATATAATACTTAGATAAAGGATCTTGTTCCTCGAACCAGTAATCATACAGGTGTGTATTGGTGTTACGCAAAAGCCTTCCAAACTGGTCAAAAGTTAAATAATAGACAATTAATGTGAGCACCCTACAGCAACTTTCAGTCAAAAAAGTTGATATTTATATGTATCACAAAATTGGAAATATATTTTTTTGTACACATTGTAATTTAGTTACACTCAAGATCAGAAAAGGCAAACAGGTATTCACGAAGCCTTAGGAGGGTTAGGAGTCTTTCGCAGGTTAAACAAAGGTGTGGAGAAAACAAAGGTGTGGCTGCCTCACAGGTAAGAGACGTCACACGATGCCATGGTTACTCGCTCAGCCTTAGAACAGTCATAGGATGGGCTGTTAATCCCTGGAAAGCTTTAACACTGTTTGGTGTCTGCTCTAGTCTGTCCCTGTGAAACAAAATGCCAGCGTTGACATGAATTTTTCAGCGAAACAACATCTCCTCAGTTTTTTCTTTGTATAACTGGACAAGGGGAAAAGCTTACATTTTTAGAAAACTGAATGTTAACATCCAATGAAGGTATGTAACCTTTTTAAATGCATTTTCGTCTCTCATGTCTATCAAATAAGGGAGTAGGAAAGCAAACTGTCACTAGTTGAGAGATATTTCTATAGAAAATTTGAATAAATATGAAGCTAAAACATTACTTTAAGGTTTTATCCATTTAATGATTCTGAGGGATCCTGAGGGATCATTAAACTGATAAAACAGCCCATGTGAGGTAATAGCACTCTAATAACTTGCATTTAATAATTGGATGAATTGATTTGTTTGAAAGCAAAACCACTGACAGAAAGATATCTCAATACCTTATCTCTCCTCTTAGCCAAGAAATGGTGGAAAGTGTGAAACCAGCAGAGGATTGGAGGTGGTGCAAGTTTTCCCGGAACAAGTATTTCGTCTTTATTCTGGTATTTGCAGGTGTGTTCCTGATTTATTACAGAAATACAAT